CTGTGATAGGATGTGTCTAATGTTGCTGTTTGACTCCATCTGTAGGTGGTGTACTTCACAGCCACATTTCCATATGTGGTCCTCTTCATCTACCTTATCCGGGGCTTGACTCTTCATGGCGCCATAAATGGTGTCAAATACATGTTCACACCCAAGGTGGGTTTGCTTTAGAGATTTGGCAGTAGGCAAATAGACAGTATATGGGTGCTTAGCATTACAGCTATACAGGTTGTGGTTTTATACCATGGTGAAGGACAAAACTCAATTACTGTTACTTTTAGTTTGCGTAGGGCGTCTGCAGAGTGCAATTTGATGACATTTTCCAATACAAAGTTTCTATTTGAAAAGTGTATTGCCCCAAGATATTCATATCTTGGGCCAGTAAATAATATTTCAAAGCAGCTACCAATAGTATAAGTTGAATAATCTACTGAATCAGTGCGTTTTTTTATACATTACAGTGCAGCATGATGGCTATAAACCAACATAGCTCATGAATTATTTCCCTTATTGTGCTTATGTATCCCTTTTGTGAAGGTGTATTCATCTGAAAAGCCTTTGCAGAACTGTAAAAATGTATTATGAATTCTTACAATGTTATGTTTGTATGTTTGTCTACTTATAGATGGAACAACTTGCCAACCCTACAACATGGATCAATGCAGCCACTCAAATCTTTTTCTCTCTGGGTTTGGGTTTTGGGTCACTCATTGCTTTTGCCAGCTACAACCAGTACAACAACAACTTTGAGCGCCAGGCCATCATTGTTTCCCTTATCAACAGTGGAACCTCCATCTTTGCAAGCATTGTCACCTTTGCCATCTATGGGTTCAAGGCCACCGTCAACTACGAGAACTGTCTGGAGAGGTTTGTGTGTTTTGCTTGTATATGCACCCTTACACCTGTGTGCATGTCTGTGAATGTGTACCAGATTGTGTGTACCCTTCCATTGTTTGTTTGTTGTTGTTACAATTAAAAGGTCACATAAGACAAAAAGATAGAGACAGGACACATAGAAGTGTAGGCTGTTATGCAGCCCCATATACAAAAAATTGTGATGCACTGTGTTCTGACACCTTTCTATAAGAACTAGTAGCTCGCATGTTTGATCAGACCACACGGGCCAACCCCTTCACTCACCATATGCCATAATAACCAGATAATCAGTGTTATTCACTTCACCTGTCAGTGCTCAGAATGTTATGGCTGATCGGTGTATGTGTATGCCTAATTGTTCATCTGTGTTGTATTCAAGAATATGTTGTGTGTGTGTTGTGTTGAATGTGTGATGGTCGATCAAAACAGCTTAAACAGTTTGTGACATGCACCACACACGATGGTAATACATTGGACCCCTTTTACTCCCCTGTGCACCACATTGGACACTCAGATCACTGCATAATGTGATTGGCTTTGAACACATTCCATACATTTTTTGGCATATTGCTTACCTCAAAATGTACAGTATTAACCAAGGCTTGTATAAGCAGAATTTGTATGACACAGCATTGATGTTAGGTATTGCAAATACTTAATATTCTAGGTGAAGGTCAGGATTAATGTACAGTTCATGTAATAGTCGTTTTCTTTTCCTCTTCCAGGACACGCTTGCTGCTGCTGAATGCCTTTAGTCTAGCTGAAGACAGTATCACCATGGACACTGTCTTTGATTGGATTGAGAAGCTGAACGCAACATACCCACAACAGTTTGCTGAAATCGCTGACAAACTGGAAAACTGTGACCTGGAGAGTGAACTAGACACCGTATGTTCCTCCTCATTACACTTGTCTTATATTGGTACACACAAGCACTAATATTTACAATTAACATAATGAGAATACAATTGGTTCACACTGATTGTGATAAATGGACTGCACTTATATAACCACTCAAAGCACTGCACTATATGTCACATTCAGCCTTTCATGCACTGATGACTCGCACACTGACCTGCCATGTAAGGTGCCAACTGCTCATCAGAAATGAACAAATACCATTCAGTGGCCATTCACACACACACACCGATCGCTCAGCTTTGGGGTTCAGAATCTTGCCCAAGGACACTTTGTCATGCAGCGGGAGGAGCCAGGGATTGGACCCCAAACCTTGTGATTAGTTAATGACCCACTCTACCTCTCGAGCCACAGCCACCCAAGAGAAAGATTACTTTTTAAAAAGAAAGATATATTAACAGTGCAATAAACAATAATAGAGGGCTATGATTACTAGAGAAAATCCAGTACTTGTAGTGCAAACAAACACAGGACTTTAAACCAGGAGGTCAATGTTTATATCCCATGAAACCAAAAGTAAACAATTTGAAGTACAGTAAGTTACATCAGGTATGTTACATAATTACATTTTATTCATGTGCTAAAGTTATGTCAGATATGTGACATAGCTTACAATCTTTTCCTTATCCTAACTAAGTAGTTTTTGTGCCTAAATTTAACAAAACTGTGACTCACTCATTAACCACACAAGCTTTACTTTAAAACTGTAATTTGATATTACACATTTATTGTTGTGAACTACACTCCAACAAAATAAAAAGTCTAGAGCGTATAATGTTTCCTTCTTTGATACCGGTTATTGCAGATTGCATCCCATATCCTTGAACTATGACCACAGCTTTGCCGTAGCCTGAACCAAACCAGACATTAACCATAGAGGTGGCCGATCAGATTTTTTTTTTGTGGTTATTTAGGTCATTTGGGAAAGCACTGACGAAAGATGTTGTCCTTCTGATAGGTGGATCAGATCGCAGTGTTGATGTCTTATGGGATGAAGACTTATTGGTCTGATTAAATGAATCCAACTTCAAACAGCTTTTGGCCTTGGTAGTGTGTTACACAGAATTGGTACCAATAAATGTCATTCATCTGTTTCAGGCAGTAGAGGGGACAGGTCTGGCCTTTATAGTATATAGTGAGGCCATTATGAATATGCCATTGTCTCAGCTGTGGTCAGTGCTGTACTTCATCATGCTCCTGCTGTTGGGAATGGGCAGCATGCTGGGCAACGTCACTGCCATCGTCACCCCACTACGAGACTTCAAGATCATGTCCCGCATGAGCAACGAGTTGTTAAACGGTAAGATTCTGTCCTGGTTTATATAGTGCCAGTAAACTGTTGCCATATTGGTGCTATTCATATTGGTTGTGGTTACTAAAAAATTCAGACAAGCATCCAGTTTACAAAAGAGCAGCACCAAATCTTACTGTCCACAATGTAAGAACTTTTTTGAAGTTGAGGGCTGTGTTTCATTAATTAATTTAATATAACATCAGTGAATTGACATGTGAGTGTTTATTTTAACTTAACTAATAAATATGGCCTATTCAAAGATAGAAAACAATGGAGTGTGTCTTCTTATGCCACAATTCCACATTATTATGATGTTGCGTCTGCAACAAAGTTTGGCTCCGTCATCTGCATGTCTTCAAAAAGCAGAGTGTCTTCAGAGCATGTTGCCTGCCCAACATTGTTGACTGAGGATCTGTGGTGTCATACAAAATGCATTTCTCCACTTCCAAGCTGAACTTCTTGAATGTCCTCTGACCTGCCTCTGACTAATGTAGCGTAAAATTCGATCCAGAGTACCAGAATACTCCATGGGGTATTTTATTTTGAAAATTGATCGGCTTCTCTATTCTATTTCTGTGTCTACCTTCCTGGCAATGCAATTTGCTCTATGGTGCTCGACATGGATGGGTCTTCTGTCAAAAATAGACCCGCAGCAGAACATCCTGATAACTCACCTGGTAGAACTGCCGCCCAATGAGTCCTTGCTCCAGCAGCCATGGGTTCGACTTTGCTATGTGTCATCATGAGCATTGCATAGAAAGGGTGCAATCAGTTCCAGTGGACGCATTGCTGTTACTGGTCGAGGCAGACGACCACCAAGCTAGAGCCGAAGGGTCTGTCCTAGGTTTCTGCCTCTTAAAAGGCAGTTTTTCCTTGCCCCCGTCGCCAAGTGCTTGCTCTTATGGTGGGAACTGTTGGGTCTTGGGTGTAAATAATGTTATAAGGAGCTCGGTCTAGACCTGCTCTATT